ACCTAACTGGAGGGATGAGATGGGGTGGGGGGGGGATGCAAACAGCAGCCCTTCTGGCAATGGCGCGTGTGTAACGCGTCCATCCTCAAGGGTGGGCTGTCCTGTGGCTGAATTGAGTACCACAGCAGGAAGCGGGTGTTGGCAAACAGATCCACTCTCCCGAAGCAAGCTCAGATCTGCTGAACCACATTGTTGTGCAGTCTCCAACTGCTCCCGGGCCCTCCCACTGTCTCTCTCAAGCCTAGCAAGGAGAGCAGTGTGGGCTGTAGGTCGGATCATTAGCTTAGCATTGGTGAACTTGCAGTTTTGTGGAGACTGAAGCGCGTTATGCACCGAGCCGAAGATGGGGGGGGGTTCGGTGGGGAGGAGAATGCTCTTTAGGAAGAATGTACTGTATTAAATCAGTTGAACATTCACAGTATTTTCAGTGTGTACACAAGCAGCACATGAAACACAAATAAATGCATGCTGGACACATAACGAAGGGAGGAGGTCTGGTGGTGTGCATCAGCCTCTGTCCCTCTGTCACACTTCTTTTTCTTTTTAAAAAAAAAAAAAGAATTCAGTGAGCAGTTCACTGTTTGCTGAAGAAAAAAGGACGATGAGGCAGTAGGGGCACTGCTATTTATACGTCACGCACGTATCAGTAGCGACGTCCTATTGGTCGGCTACGTGCACGATAAAATTTCAGTGGGCAAGAGCGTGCGTGTGATTGGAGGAGGTAGTACCCATAGTTTCCAGTAGAGGGCGGAGCCTGTGTGAGATAGAACTGTAACCCAACACTTTTGCGCTTGCATTTTTTGTTTTTGAAATGCAAATATACTACCATCCAAACTATTTAGATGTCGAGTATGTATCATACTGCATCTCAGTGAATACTATTTTGGTATGTGGAAAAAACAGAAGCTGTCTAGTTACACTTGCTAAGCTGTGACTGGACATGCACTGTTCATGGGACAGATTAGGGAACGGTCAATTGTTGACAAATGCATTAATAGTTATAAGTTAAAGTGTTACATCTCAGCTGAAGAAATGGATTTTGTTTTGATCTGTATATTGTCACTGTATATTGTTCTGCATTTGGCTGTTGACTTAGCAGATCACATTATTCTTCAAGCCTTGCAATAATTCACTTAAACCCTTTCTCACTGAAATAAAGCACACAGTACTGCAAGTGCTCAATGAATTTTGTTATATGGGAGTGTGGGTGGAATAAAAAAAAACCTCAAAGCACCACTCATGTTTCACTGAAGAGTATCATTTCTTTCTAAAGCCGGTCTTTGTTAAATTTCCTAATTGCGCTTCCTTAAAAAGTCGACACACATAAATAGAAGCCTTAAGGTCATTTTAGCGTTCCTTCTCCCTCCACTGTGTGTGTGACGTCTGCATTCAGTTCCCTGTCAGTGCACTGCAGGGACCCATCCAGCTCTCGTTTGGCCGTGCCGCTTTCCCCCAGATTATCAGGCATTCATTGGTTGCACATGGCATTGTTATGCAACAACACATTTGAATTTCAAAGCCTTTTCGGAGGATTACACTGTCGGCCCTGCACACAGCCGCCCTGAGTTCCAAATGATATGTTTCATTTTTAGCCATGGCATATTTTTATTAAGCATTTATTCAGTTCAGATACAGGAGATAATGATAGCATGGATGCGTGTTTCATCTTCTTTGTCTGTTTCACAGTGTTTACGCCTCCAAAGAACATCACCAAAATATCATAAGGAATGGTTAATTTAGATGACCATATGAAGTTTCATCTTGTTTGAACTTGAACTTTGTTCGTTATCTCTAAACTACAAAGGATCCAGGCTCTACAAGTGCCATTGTTTATGTAGGTACATTTGGGAAAAGCAGAACTTCCCAGTGCAGGATGGTTGCACGACAGTAGCTGAGTGGATGCATGGTGGTAAGGTAGTGTTGCTTCTCCTGGGATGCGTATTTGCGTAATGTAAACAAAACACCACGCTTCAGTGAGTGTGGATTAGTCTGCTTTTTCAGTCTATATCATGTTTGTTTTACCCCAAACAAGTAAAAGATAAAGACAAAACACACAAACACAGTACACAGGAGAGCATACAAACACACACATAAGGAGCGAGGGGAGGCGGGGGGGCAAGCAGCTCTTGTTGTATCTAAGCAACAACAGACAGCAGAGATGATCCTTGATCACTGCTGATTATGTTTCACTATGTATGTGTGTGTGTGTGTGTGAGAGAGAGAGGGGGGGGGGGACGGCACACTTGCACAAATACTACAATTTACAATTTACTGTGTATGTAACTTGCGTACACACACACTTCTACCCATCCATCGTCGTATGTTTCTCTTTGTGTTTGTTTATCTTCGTGCGTGTGTGTGTGTTAGCATTCACGTTTTTACAGGCTTGTTGAAGTTGCTTTGGCGTTGTTTGACGCCAGCGTTGCCATGGAAGTGAGTGATGCCTTTAACGCCACCACAGCCAGCAGAGGGGAGGATTTAGTTGAGAACGTGGGATGCTGAGATTTTCCTTCTGCTCCTCGTACTTCATTGTGCGTGTGTGTGTGTGTGTGTGACATTGTGTATTAGTTTGTGGGGGGGGGGGGCTTGTGGATGTGAGAGAGAAACACAAAGACAGTAGGGAGATTAGTGGATTGGATAAGGAGTGAACTATGGGGTTGAAGCAACACATTGATGAACAAGGTAGGAGCTTCTGACGCTGCGTTTTTTTGCTACACATGCAACAAAGAAAGAGAAACCTACACTGCCCTCTACTGCATAAAACTGGAAGAGCATGAAAAAGTGTGAAGTTCACAAGAAATATAATAACATTACCACCTTATTCCTTCCTAAACAATTATTTTACATTTTGGGGTGACCATTTGGTCTTTAAAATGTCAGCAAACAGTAAAAACACATTGAAATTGCTTTATTTGTCTGACCAATAGTCCAAAACCCAAAGATAATATCTTAAAAACTGGAAGGTGGATTTCAGGCATTTTTGCTTTAAAATGGACTTAAATGATAAACAAAGATAATTGCTGTTTAGTTGTCTGTTGATCAACTAATCGTTTCAGCTCTAATCCAATAAACACCAAGCCTTAATTTGTCTTTGTTTCTGTTGTCCTCTTAATCCCTTAAAACCATGTTGCCTTGCAAACATTACTGTCACATCCAGCGATGACAAAACAGCTAAACATAAACAAAATAAGACCTGGCAGGAGTGACAGAACTAAATGAGCTGCGGTGACTCTAATTGACATTGCCTTTTCTAATGTTTGCGTATGCTTTTGTATTCAGTCCTGGAATATTTATGCTTCAGAGTATAATACATTACCACTGTTTTAGTGAAGAATCTCATGAGCATGTCCTTGTGCGAAAGTTCACAGTGACTCTCTGAAGCAGTCAGATTACAGCCTTTTCCTCCTTGTTCACTGTCTGATTACATTTAAATATGCAGAGTGGGGAGGTTGGAGCTGATAAACACAGTTTTAGAGCATCAGTATGATGATCCTGTTTCTGCTCTCCGTCTGTTATAGCTTTGTCATGTGTTTGTGTCAGAAATTTAAGACTGATTTGTCTGTGTTATGCAGCCTGTTGTTCTCTTTCTTCCTTCCTTTGTTATTTGTGGTTTAATGCATGTTGTATGTGACCTTCCTGTGTGCGTTCACATGATGTTGGTAAGTGGGGCAGCGGTGGACTCGGCCCATTGGCCACTTAGAGTAGATGTTGTCGCCATGGTGAAGGTGGCATGCTCTCACCACCCTGTACCCATGCTCCTGTTGCTATGTAACGGCACTCCTTTTTTTCCCACTCGTTAGTTATCACACGGGGAAACGTCACACCTCCCTCGCATTATCTGCTCACCTATTGCCTATAACCTTGTGCATGAATAACATAGAGACATTAAATTACAAGAAATCTGTTCCCACTCCCACATCTGAGAGTCTCGCTTTACTAGCACCTTATTTACTTGTTTTAACAGAATGTATGGCAGACTTTGTGAGATGGGCAAGTAGTATTTCTTGTTTTTGTTAATTTTACATTTGCGTGCGGCCTAACACCCACCAGTGTTATAATCCAGTTGGTGCTGTTTCACACTGTCAACTTCAAGTGAATTTAGAGAGTATGTTTTGCTTCGCAACACCTGTTATCAGCGTATGTGCTGAGTAACTGAGGACAGAATATCTATCTATCTATCTATCTTATAACTTACCAAATATTCTTTGAAGGCATCCTTTACAGTGGTTATGGTAGTGAAAAAAAAGCATCCGCGCACTCAAATCTGTGCAAAATCTTTTTATTTTCCAAACTTTGGGTCAGAGAACTTCTTCAAGGGAAGACCAAGTAGCGAGTGAATGAACCAGTACAAAAGGTTAAGAGAACATGGCTTGATGAAGTTAAACACACAGTGTCTATAGAGACAGTCAAGAAGCACTAAGCACATTGAATAAACAAAATTCGCAACAACAATATAGAATATGCAACAAAATAAATGCTATGTACACATCAGGCATCAGCCATCATCAAACATAGAGTATATAGAATCTATTATAGTTTATTCATAGCAACACATTCATTTCGAATTCCTTATTTAGATCTAGTGGAGTGCATCCAAAATGTTGTATATTTTAGCCTATCGCTCCAGTCTGATACCGGGTGAGCTGTTGTCTCTTTTTTCCCCCCGTCAACTTGCAAAGATTCAAAACTGGCATGAGATCAGTAATCTAAGTCCACATATATAGTAAAGAGAAGCAATTTTGCTGGGACTGAAGCTCAGATATTTCTGTTTGCTGTCCGGCCTTGGAGTGACGTGCAGTGACTCACTACTCTCCCTTCTCTGTCCATTTGAACCCCCTGAGTCAGTGTGGAGTCACAGAGTGTCTGGATCTGCCTCAGGGCTCAAAGACACACACACACACACACACAAACACACACAAACACACACAAACACACACACACACACACATTTTCCCTAAATTTAAAAATAAATTTCCCCTCTCTGTCTCATTTCCTTCTAGTGGGTGAAGCCAGGAACCTTATTCCTATGGATCCAAATGGTTTATCAGACCCCTATGTTAAACTCAAGCTCACCCCCGACCCAAAGAATGAGACCAAACAGAAGACCAGGACCATCCGTTCCTCTCTCAACCCCTGCTGGAATGAGTCCTTCACCTTGTGAGTGTGTGTGTGTCTGCTGTTGTGCCTTTCTGTGTCTTTATTTATTTAAGATCATTTTAGTGATAGTTCAAGTTAATTCAGTCAAATCAAAGGTTACAAAATGAAAGTAGATCTTAAGGAGATGTTTTAACCTCTGTTGTCATATTTTGAAACTTTCTCCCGTGTGTGTGTACTTGTGTGCCCCAGTAAGCTGAAAGCATCAGATAAGGACCGGCGTCTGTCCATTGAGGTGTGGGATTGGGACCGAACCACCCGTAACGACTTCATGGGCGCCATGTCGTTTGGAGTGTCCGAGCTGATAAAAGCTCCCGTCTGTGGATGGTCAGTCGTCTTTCACTTCTACTCATTCCAACAACTGGGAGATTCAGATTCTCCAGAACATCAGCTGGTGTGAGGAAGTTGTCATATCGAGGATGTCATACTTTACAGTAACATAGTACCTACACAGAAAACCGCGTGCAAAGTATTATTCCAGTGTCACAACCAGTGTTGCCGAAACTGACAAGTGATTGAAAGTGTAGTAATGGTGGCCTTTATTTTAGTAAAAGGAGACTTTGAACAATTTGTTCAAACAGCATCACACAGTGGATAACCTGCAAAAGCCTGTAACTCACCTTAGTTTATCTCTCAAAAGTAAATATTTGTGTCAGTGAACATGTCGGTGCCATCCGAAAGACAGTGGATATCTTCATCAATTCAGGACACTCTAATAGACGTGTATCAAAAATATGCTTGACAGATTATGACAACTGGTTCAACCATTTTTCTTGTAGTGATTTGTGCAATGAACTAATGCCTTGATGTTTTAGGCATTGGTGAAAAGGAGACTGTTGAGATCATTGATGACATAAGCAATTGATCAAGATGACATAAGCAATTGATAATGTAGAAAACAGCAGACACTTGAACGTAATAATGTGCATGAATGTGCCAAAAATTTGCAATTTGTCCAAAAGAGGGAGAAATTGCTTCTATGGTGTGCACAAGTGACTAGATGTTGTGTAGGTTGAACAAGTAGTTTTGAGAATTGCACATCTGACCTGAGAAATATACCAAAGCGACTGAGAAAAACTGTAATATTCTGGTAGTGTATTGGTAATATAACCTTTATTTAATCAGTTAAGAAAAAAATGCAGGATGCTGAAGAACAATAATATACATTTTATTGGAGCAAGTTTAAGTTTAACAAAAAAATATGAACATGAATAATTAATAAATACTAAACATAGGTAGTGTGGATTGCTTTGTAAATTGTTCCACAGTTGTCCTGAGAGCTAATCGCAGTGAAACTGAAAGTGGTCATTAGAAGTTCAGAAGCTCTTATCATATTTTAAATTCAGCTCTAAAAAGGTAACGGTCCTTAAAGGATTCTTCTAACACAAATAACAATTGGTCCTTTAAACCTTTAAACAAACATTTACAGAAATTATGGTTTTCAAGAGCAAAGTTTTGTTTGGAGTTTAGGGAAAGAGCCTGTTTTCTCACATTCCTCATGAGCTGAACTTCCCCAAGGGTACAATAACATAATTATTATTATTACTCATAGCCAGCTTGTTAACTTGATACTACACCGGCCACAACCAGCCAACCACCATCACTAAAACAGCAGCACATTGTGCGTAAAACAAGGGTAAAGACCCCTGGCTGAATGCTGAACCCCATTCACTCTGACCAAGAGCACCTGCTGGCGTCATTTCCTCATCTCTCTGTCTTTGTCTGCCTGCTTTGTCTCACACTGATAAACACACACTCATAGAGACGTTAAAGTCACTCTCCCATGTTAGCATACCTGCCACCACCTCGCCTAAACCGAGGCTGATTGACTGCTGCTTGGAGTTACATAGAGAAGCTCCAGGAAATACCTGCGCATAAAAAATGTTTCGCAACGAAAATGGTTGGCGTCGGCTGCTACAGTGCTTCTACGTGTGTTTGTCTGCATATTGTAGTGTACATTCCAGGTCATTAGGCAAGTGGCGAGAGGATGTGTACATTAGAAAGGAAGTAGTTAGCACTCCTGACAGAGAGCAGACCTGCAAACACTCAAAGACAGATACTTAAGATTGAAGTGGTGCAGAGATGTTAAGTTGTATCGCGGTGTGAGTAGACAGAAGAAGAGGATGACACAGATGATAGATTCAAAGGAAAGTAAACAAAAAAAAAACACAGATTCACTTTTGTCTGTCTTTTTTCTCTCCTAGGTACAAGTTGCTGAACCAGGAGGAGGGAGAGTATTATAACGTCCCCATCCCCGAGGTGGACGACGTCAACCTGGAGCTCCGACAGAAGTTTGAGGTGAGGACAGAGAGGGAGGTCGACTCGGGTTGTAAATTTGTAACATTCAGTCAAAGCATAAGTAGATGTTCTTTGCCACACATGCCTCACTTTAACAAAACTGTGTTCCTCTCTCCTGTCACCATGGTAACCTTGTCCACTCTCTCCTGGCTCTAAAAATGAATGTTCTTGATTTGAAAGGGAAATCCTGTGTGTGTGTGTGTGTGTGTGTGCGCGCGCGCTCACATATATACATATATATAAGCAAGGTTATGAAAAAAACTGCAAATAATAATTCGTAATATGGTCATTCATAATGGTGCCAAGGCGACTATCTGAACCTGAACCCTCAAAAGTTATTTGCAGGGCTAAATGAAGATTAGCACTAATGGTTGTTTCTTCAATATTCAATTACGGCTGTTTTTTTCATGGCAGAGTAACTTCTAAGTTCAATCTGCAAGTCAAAATGGATGACTTTCCTAATTACTGTGCACCCCTGTTTTATTTTACATGATTTAGTAAACCCATTTGAGAAGTAATACAGAAGAAGTAGTCATGTAAAGGGTCAAAATGAAGCCCAGAAAGGCATTAATGATTTTAACAGCTTTAATGATTTTGCTTTATTTCCCTGGACTCTGGTGTAAAGCTATTTCCAGCAAAGCACTTGTTTCTGCAATCTAACAACAGAATCAGAATCAGAAGGAGCTTTATTGCCAAGTAGTGTTTTACACATATGAGGAATTTGTTGTGGTGATAAGGTGCTACACGTATACAATCATACAGTCAACATAAATAAATGTAGAAATACATAAATATGGAACGGAAGAACAACGTTGCAGATATATACATGTGCATTATTCTGGGTTCAACAGTGTGAGTTATAACCTATAGGTGCATCAGACAAGCCTAAAACAATAACACGGGATTCAAAAAATGTAGTTTTTGTCAACTTATTCAGCCCACATTGTCACTGAACTAGGCCAACAGCAGGAAACATTTTCTACAGCTTTGTGTTAAGCTTCCTACTATCTCATATTTTTATTAATTTGACCTGTTTTGTGTTATTTTTCTTTAATATTATTCGGGGTCTGTTTCAGTCATGCTTCTTGGACTGCATTTGTCCTTTTTAACATCTGATAAATGATTTCAAAAGTTTGTACTCTGCTAATAGCAACATGAAGCAGTGAGGTCACTTTGACTAACTCAAAAGTAAATGCGATGTTAATGTTTAAGTTTTGAGAATGAAAACCAATAACTGGCTGAAAGAAAACATATTCAAAAATCAATTACACTATGTTTTGCGTTGAAGATGGTTGCCAATATTGTATAGAGCCAATTCATGTAAAAACACTTCTATGATCTTCTAATCGAAGGAGACATTAATAGCAACTAACCCTCGCTCCCTAGCAGTTCGTTAACTGCAGCTTTATATCAGTGAGGTTACATTTTAAACAAATGAAAACATTTTTAAATAAAACTCTCTTCACATCCGTATTATTAATATTCAGGTAGAAGGCGGATTCATTATTAAACATTGCAACAACAGCAAAGACATGTGGGATTCAACTGAGGAAAAGGAGATGGAAGAGAGCGAGGGCAGCGTTTGCCTACAGGTGTTTTAATACTTAGTGTAAATGTCATCTCCTCACAGCAGTCCTCAAGACACCAAGCCTTGTTGTTTTTAATTTCCCGTTTCTCGTCACACCGCCCAACACTGACCTTGACTTTCATCCGAGGCTAGCGTCTTCATGAAACTGTAAGGTTGCCGTGGAAACTGGGCTGAGATGCAGAGATGCTACCAGATATGACAGAAAAGGATTTCTTCTGTTTTCTAGTCATGCCTTTGATCATTTTATTGTTTGCAGGTAGATGATTGGAACAGATAAAAAAATAATGTCTCATCATATCCACATGTGTATTCTGTCACTTATTTTCCCAGCAAGACACACATGCACGTACCAGCTAACGAGTGAGTTTTTTCTTTCTTCTAGGCCTGCCAGTTAAAAATCCACTATCTCAAGGTAGCTCTTCTGCCTGCTCCATATCTTTATTATCTTGCTGCCAGCTTGCATCAAACTCACTTTACTTACTGTGTCAGGATTGTTTGTGGACCTCTGCTGGGCTTCCACAAATTAATCGGATTTACTAACAAAGGCTCTCAACAGCACATAATTGAACTAGCCTAAAATGCTTGCTGTTATACACTAAAGTAATGTGCTTTCTCTAACTCCTCTCATATACTAACTTTTTCCTTTCTGTTTCGTTCCTTCTTCACACATGTAAACATAAAATTAAAGGGACCACATGTAATTTTAATATAGAGGAGGAATTCAGTCTTAAAGGGGCATTATGTAGTTTTCAGTGGCCATTAGCAGTGCTCGTACGTGTGCTTGAACGTCTGAGCGAGCAAAATCCGCTCATGAGCTTCACACGAAGTGCTGGAAACTCAGGTAAACTATCACTGCAACATTACAGTAATATTTTTATCAGCTTGAGGTTGAAGTAATCTGTGCTCATTACATGATAATGTTACATTAACTGCATCCCTGCCCCTTTTCAATAACTTTTTGTGTATCTTTCACCGGAGGCTCAGCAATGTGAGCACAGCTAAATGTATTGGATGATAATGAAAACCGTTGGGTTAGCTAGACTGAATATTAAAAATGAGATTGTTGCCACACTTTATAACAGACTGTAGTAACGTCACTGTAGTGAATGGGTCTTCTACAGTGTTGTGTTCCTGCGCCTTACGTTGCAGTATTGTATATTATATGGGTCACGTAAGTTACAGCGACTGAGACGGGTGTAGAAGCTGTGTACCTGAGTATCTGTGAAAGGACAATAACTCTAAATTGAACATTAAGCAAACAGCAGCAGATCCATGCTAATGTTAGCATGCTGCCCCTGCCTTGCATCTCCATAAGCTAGTTTAAACAAATTACTCCACATCCGTTATATTATTTCTTGCAGGCTAAAATCAACACTTTGACATAATACCGGTGGTACACAGGATAGTAATATGGATCGCATTATCTGGTGAAGTAATGTAGAAAACCATACAACTAGTATTTTGCACCGTTAACGCCAACCAGTTGCTAACGTTATCTAACTTGAGCCAAAAGCACAAAATCACAATATATTTCACATACTTTGCAGTAAAGTTAGTTTACTAGTCCAATAGGATGAAACCCAACTCTGTGTTAGTGTTTTTTTCCAGTTCCAAAACAGCCTTTCCGATGATGACTGTGTTTTCACCCGACATCGATCTGATTCTCGTTTGTCCTGATGGGCTTTTGCAACATAAAAATGTTTTCTTGTTTTTTATCTTTACGTGGAGGTTTGTGTAGGAGTCGTTATTTGGTTTTAGCTGACTCCATGTCCTTAGCTGTGGTGTTGTTGCTGTGTACCGCACAGATTCAATGGGCAAGAGGCTTGGGAGCACGCATGCAGTCACAGCAAAGGGAAAATCTGACCTGGAGTATACTGGCTGTCAGAGGTAACAGAAAAACACGGCAAGTGGATCGTTTTTATGTTAGGTTACAATCCCTTCACACACAGGCAATAAAAAAGTGATTAATTTAATTTAAAAAAAACTACATATAGCCCCTTTAAGGTTTGAGGATTTTGCAGCACCTGCAGCATTATCTGCAAAGGTCAGATCAACAAAGTCTGACATTTGCAGCATTTGCATTTGGCCTTACATCGCAAACAGAAAAGCAGCTGGTATAATGCTGTAATGCTCTAATCAATCTCTTTGAAACTGAAACCTCAAAAACATTAACAGCCAAGGATTCTACTATTAAAATGAATATAAAATGTGAATAAAAGTGCTGCATATAATATATTTACTCCCTATCTTACACACAAACACCACGCAGCATTGTTGTTAGTAAATTTGTGGACTACTCAGGCCTCTGGTGGTGTCATCATCTTTACCACTTTATGTGCACTGATATTGGCGAGTTTCACACCTGCTCCTCATTGGCTGACAGTATGATCCACAGTCAGCCCTCTACTAGTCTGCCTTTGGTCCGGACTATAGAAGGTTGTTAGGACGCATGGATGGACACTCACTTCTGCACACTAACTGTACGAATGAATGTACACATAAGCAGGTTCTTGGTGCGCTCGGTGTGCATGCCAAATCTCTCCACACGGTGGCAGTGTTATATTTATTATAAGATTGGCTGCATTGTTTGTGTTTGAATACAACTTTGTGTGGTCACACTGACATATATATTCCAACTGATGTTTGTGTTGAAACAGGTAGATGTGGTTTTGTGAACTGTTTGTGTCTAGTTTTTTTATATCATACCCAAATGGTCCATGTTAGACATGTTTAGAAAATTCCCTCTTGATGTCTCTGAAGGTCAGGGTGATGACAGAACAACCTTTGCAAGCTGCAGTAAACAAAGCAAATACAGGATTAACGCGTTGTTCAGATGTTTCCTGCTGACAAACTACATGATAAAATCAATGATGTATTGACAAGTGATCATTTATAAACCTTTTCATGTGTAGTGTTGACATGCACAAAAATATATCCACTCCTGAATAAGACATAAATGGATGTCAACATGCCCACATGGTCACACATAAAAAAATTCAAAACAGTTCTGTCCTTATCCAACGAAGGTTAAAATCAAGGGCAACTGGACATGGTTGCTCTTGACTTTAACCTTCGTTGGATAACTGACCTGGATGACTGAGAATCTTCACAGACGAGAAAACCTCCTCTGTTTATGTCAGTTGTTTCCAACTTTTTTGACTGTGAGCATGAGTTGTTAGCAATAAAATCAACAAGTAAGTTTTCCTTTCTGGATTTTTGTCATTTGAAGTAGGCTATTTTTAGAGGTATGATACAGTAAAAAGAAAAATACAAATTAGAGAGAAGCTCCAGTGCCATGACGGTGCTGGCAGGGTGCTAATTGACAAATTTTTGGCAGCCTAGTCAACAACAGGGAATCTTGCACACTGGCAACCCCCCCGATAAAAAAGCACCAGTAGAGAGCTCCTGCTGAATATATGTGATATGTGATGATGTCTGGCACGTCACTGGGCACTCTCTACATAGAAACAGAGAAAAAAATAGAGAAGCATGATTTGATTCGGACTCTTCAGTATGCTCCTAACCAGTTTTTTATTATGGTTAGGGATGTTAGTGTGTCCATCGAGTCCATGTAGCAAATGATAACCTAACAAGTGCTGAACAAGTACAGAACAAATCGTCATATATTAGAACATAATAGCCAGCATGCAAAATAAAGTAAAAATATCTTGAATGGGATTGAAAATGTAACAGAAGTCTGTAATATTAACCAGTTGTTAAACGTTGTTTCAAAGGGGTGTAATCCAGAAGAATAACTTTAATTATTATGGTACAATATTATGGTACATTCCTTTAAATTACATTTTACATTGTTACTTCTATGATACATTACTTTAAATTACATTTTGCATTGTTACTTCTAATTAATTACACAAGACATATTTTCTTCTTCTCTATGCTTGCATTTTCAACCCATCTAGAGAGATATTTTTAGTACATTTTAAAATGCTTTTGTGGTTTTTACATCATCAGTTGTTCATGTGTTTTTTTTGTTTGTTTTTAATTATATAAATGATGAAAAGCTGCAGAATGACATCAATCCTACTGTGATTAATAGGTGGCAAGAACACTTCCAGAAAAACACGCATCCAGTGATTAAGAGAAGTCTGTGTGAAAGCCAGATGTGAATATCTGTCTCCAGACCAGCTGTTAGATGCTCCATGTCCTCTGCTCACGTCATATAAGCGGGGGAGGCATTGTTGTCTAACTTTTCTTGTAAACAATACAATCAAATTGCAGAAACAGCAATGTGCAAACAGCTTAATTTTCATGTTAGATTTATTACCATTATTATTTGCTTTAAATGTGGATGCTAAACTGTCAAACGATGTACATAAAATATCATGTAAGACATCCACAGCAGTAGAGAAATTCTTGAATGTACTTTACTTTAATGCCACAGAAAGCCAAGCTGGGCCATGGTAAGAAAATGATTACACCATCAGACCACCGACGGTTCAGCTTGCCTTCAGGTAACATGGACCGGGTCCGACTGAGCGACTTCCACTTCCTGGCCCTGCTGGGGAAAGGCAGCTTTGGCAAGGTGAGAGCCATGGCGCAATATAAAAGGCCATTAATCATTTTAGCACTTTAAATGCGGCAGCCAAAAAATGCCTGAGCGTCAGCATTTTTTTGGTGCTCAGACTCGTATCATTTCAACCGCTGACCTATAGTTTCTTCATCCGCTGCAGGTAATGCTGGCAGAGATGAAGTCAACAGAGGAGCTGTACGCCGTCAAGATCCTTAAGAAAGACGTCGTGATCCAGGACGACGACGTTGAATGTACCATGGTGGAGAAGAGGGTCTTGGCCCAGAGAGACAAGCCGCCATTCCTCACACAGCTCCACTCCTGCTTCCAGACTGTGGTGTGTAAAAACTCACAACCGAAGACATGATTTTTTTTTTTTAATACTTTCCTCCTGCATTGCGGCAGAACTGCTCATAAACACAAAAACTAAAGTAAAATCACTTTACTTTACTGAAAGGGCGCCATTGTTCTCCCTCATCATTCTTTCATCACCAGTCTCTTCAATCTCTGCCGTTTTATACCCTTGTGTGTGTGTGCCTGTCTACCGTTACATCTGTATTTGCCTTACATTTATTCGCACTCTTTTGCCAGTGCCCCTGCAGAGAAAATTGATACTGAGCTGAGACCACCTTTGAATACGAAGTCTCCAGAATGACGTCAACTCTGTGCGTAGACAGGGTGACTCAAGGAGTCTTTAATAAAAACTACAATTACCAATCAAAGCCTCCTGACTTACAATACACGTATATGCACGGACCACAGCCACTATGCTGAAAGAATAGATAATGTCAGGCATTTTTATATCTTTACTGCATGTTAAGATTAACAGCTGTAGACTTTTAAGATGTTTGAATATTATACATTATATCCACAGATCATTCTATGTAATGCGCCGCTCTTCAGTAGTGTGCACATGCTGTACCTTTCTTTGTGTAGCATCTATTCAGAGCTGCTCTTTGGGCAATAACATACTTTTTTTCTAGGATCGGCTGTACTTTGTGATGGAGTACATCAACGGGGGAGACCTTATGTATCATATCCAACGTATGGGCAAATTCAAGGAGCCACAGGCAGTGTAAGGACACTCTATAGTTTATCCAAAGGCACATGTTTTAACAATAATAACTTAACTGGTTTCCACCCACCTTGAGTTAATGCTAAAGCTAACAAAGCCCCAGTACTGTATTACAGTGACATTTAAGTTTTAAAATATCAATATCTTGTGTGCAAATATCTATGACATGAGAAGTCCTAGTACCAAGGATCTGATGGTATTGTGCACTTTACGGTCAGATAGAGTGCTACATCTGATTTATATTGAGGGTATTATCCTAAAGGTAAAGATTTATTAATACATAAATTATTAATTTTAATAGTTTGGGGCTGTGTTATGCTTTTTAGATATTTAATTGAAGAGAGATGACAGGAAATGAAGGGAGAGGAGAGATGGGGATTGACATGCAACAAAGGTCTCCATCCAGATGTGAGCGTTGCAGTTCATAGTCAGTACTTTAACCTCTAAACCACCAGGTCACCCCAAGATTTATTCATATTTATTCTTTAGGGCAAGGGATTCTTTTGTATTGCTGTCTTGTATTTAGAAGAATCACTTCCCCGACAAATTTATTATATAGTATGTATTTTCTGATTTTCAACTTTGCAGGTTTTATGCTGCAGAGATTGCTGTCGGTTTGTTTTTCTTGCACCGAAAGGGAATCATCTACAGGTGGGTGAGTCAGAGAGGAACCAGTATGCATGTAATGAAGCATTGTTACACGGGAAAAACACACAGGAGGTTTACAGTAAAACATTTTACGTGCAGTACGATCAGAGGAAAATATTTTAGATAGATACCATGGGTAATTGAAGTACACTGAACAAAATTATAAACGCAACACTTTTGTTTTTGCTCCCATTCATCGGTAGCTGAACTCAAAGATCTAAGACTTTCTCTATGTACACAAAAGGCCTGATTCTCTCAAATATTGTTCACAAATCTGTCAAAATCTGTGTCAGTTTGCACTTCTTTTGCTGAGATAATCAATCCACCTCACAGGTGGCATATCAAGATGCTGATCAGACAGCATGGGTATTGCACAGGTGTCCCTTAGGCTGGCCACAATAAAAGGCCACTCGAAAATGTGCAGTTCCATCACACAGCACAATGCCACAGATGTCGCAAGTTTTGAGGAAGCGTGCATTTGGCACGCTGACTGCAGGAATGTCCACCAGAGCTGTTGAATTGAATATTCATTTCTCTACCATAAGCCGTCTCCAAAGGCGTTTAAGAGAATTTGGCAGTACATCCAACTGGCCTCACAACCACAGACCATGTGTAACCACACCAGCCCAGGACCTTCACATCCAGCATCTTCACTTCTAAGAACGTCTGAGACCAGCCACCTGGACAGCTGCTGCAACAATCTGTTTGCATAACCAAAGGATTTCTAGACAAACTTTCAGGAAAGGTCTCAGAGAAGCTCATCGGCATGCTTGTCGTCCTCATCGGGGTCTCAACCTGACTGCAGTTCGTCGTCGTAACCAACTTGAGTGGGCAAATGCTGACATTCAATGGCATCTGGCACTTTGGAGAGGTGTTCTCTTCAGCTATGAATCCCAGCTTTCACTGTACAGGGCAAATGGAAAACAGCGATACCAGAGACTGACTGGTTCAGCTCATGATGAATGGTGTTAAAACAAAAGTGTTGCGTTTATTATTTTGTTCAGTATAGTTCAGACATTGATGCAGACAAAAGATAAGACAATCAGGAGACAACAGACACCGAAAGAATAAGGAAAGGAGGACAAGTAAGGAGGTCCAGAGAGACAGATAAAATAATAGAAAGAGATTAAAAATGGCCCTGTAGATATAACCTTGCTGGTCTGTCTGTATTTAAACTGCACAGCTTGCATACCCTCAGGAAGGTGGCGAATATTAAATCCATACTAACCACTCTGATACAAAAAAATGAAGCAAAGATAGAAAGGACAGAAAGAAATGCTTTACAGAGACTAAGGTCACCTTGTTCATCTCCAGTACTTCAGTTGAAGACTCGCATCCTCTTCATATCCCACCAGCCTTGTGTTTGGCATCCTGACACTACTTTGTGACAGATATAGCTGCCAGAAGTGGTGAATGAGGGGAAGAAAATGAGTTGAGACATGAATTTGAATTTCATGGCCAATATATTATTGTTTGTTTCCCAGTGTATCATGTGTGCTGCAGACAGACTGCTCAGAGAGGTTGCAGTAGTGTAGAGCAACACATGGCTGTGTTCCTCTCGTGTGGACATAGTGGCTGACAACAACATACAACAACAAGTACCGAAGTGGTCACAAATCCAGAGAGACAAAATACATGTACACAAATGCTCACACCTTGTCTCTGCTTCAGGGATCTGAAGCTGGACAATGTGATGCTGGACTCCGAGGGCCACATCAAGATCGCTGACTTTGGCATGTGTAAGGAGAGCATGTATGAAGGCATGACAACGCGCACCTTTTGTGGCACCCCAGACTATATCGCACCAGAGGTGAGAAGGAGATGTCTGTAATGGGAAGACTTGGCTCAGATTACAGTAAGGAGCTAAGGACTAAAGGAGCATTTTGAGGGGTTCGGTTTTTTTCCCTAGCCTCTCCAAAACCACAAAAACAGGAGCAAAAGTGTAAGGAAGGAATTCTTAACCTCAAGGGCAACTACACATGCCATTTGTCTAATATAAAGCATCATAACTAACTATTAACTGAACTCCGTATAGCCTCATTTCTAATTGGGAAGAATGAGAAATAGCCAAAAGTGATGCTCTGATGCTGCTTGGATTGCTATAACAGCCCGCAAAGAGGTGTTACAACCAAGGCGTGACAATTCATTTTGTTCATTAGGAGCAGGTCTATTGATATGTTGATTGACAGTGAGATAGGCCATTCGGTTTGTGTGCACGCCTCGCTTAAACACTTGATGAACTGTATATTAATATAGTATAATGTACGGCATATAGATGTAAGAAGAAGACAAATCAAATTAAATGATAAGGAACTCTCTTTCAATGACAACCACGTCCGTCTCCTGGAGAGTGAGGATAGATGGTTAGAAAAAAGAGAGAAAGAAGCCATTTACATCAGAGTAGAGAAACCATCCTTCAACGGGGTATGAGGTCTGCAACACCACTTATCCCCCACCTACAATTCTGTCCTTTTATCCCAGGAGATTGAACGAACACTCTTGGCACATGTAACAATGCCAACAACCGTTGTTCAGACTTGGCCTCAGGTGACTGTAACAACATCGTATCAACATGGATGAGGTGAAATGTCTTCCAGTGTCTTAAACCAAGTCCAGTTCTCTTTATTTAACCTATCTTGGATAATACCTATGGGAGATTTTGAATTAACATGTTTTTAGTTTGACCTTTCATTTGTCACACATCTGTATATCGGGTAGCAGGGAAGTTAGAAGTTTTTTTTGTGCTGTTCAAATCGTTTTGCCAACAACCTATTCTGCCCTTCCGATGAGTCTTTGAGCAATACACTGAATGCATCTGAACTTTAGGTTATTTGAGGACTGCGAATGTTCGCTGGTACCTGACAAACAGTCCCAATCAAATATCAGCAACATGCCTTATTTGTGATTGAGTTTTTTTGCCATCAAAATGCGATGTGACACAATGATTTCAATTTCCGTTTTATGTATTCAGTTAAAGTTCTTATCTAAGTTGTCTTGCTACTATATTTACAAATCATAGGAAATATTGAGCAACGGATTTAAGGTGTGAAACTTCTATTAGAGGAAAGAAAAAATTTACACAGCAGAGATGATTCACTTAGCATAATTAGATGTCTGTCTGTTTGGGATAATGTGTATATGTATTTCTATTTGTTTCTATCGACTCCCATCTGTCTTCACTGACTCATGAGGGAGCATGTTGTCTCACAGGTGGGAGGTGAGGGAAGCCCTTATCCTTCTTTTCAGTCTTTTTACAGACTTGCTGGGCTTTCCATCCCTCATGGCAAAAAATAAATCCGACACAACTCAATAGGCATTATTTTCAACAGATATTAAAGGAGAACTCCGGGCAATTTTTAAGTTAATCTTTATCGTTATACCTTTGTGAGTACTGTCTATAGAAAAAAAAAACTAACCGGATTGGTGCTTGCAACACGGAGCTGCTACAGCTAATGCCCAGAGCTCCCACTCAGCTAAAACGGCAGTTATGGGGGCATATACATAAAGATTGTCTTTGTGCCTCTTAACAGACACAAAATGCAATTAAAATGTCTGTCCAACATGAACAGGGCCTTACATGACAACAAGATGCGTTTAGCAACTTAGCCATTGTTTAAATTCACCTAAATAGTGTTAGCAGACATTTTAATTGCATTTTGTGTCTGTTAAGAGGCACAAAGACAATCTTTATGTATATGCCCCCATAACTGCCGTTTTAGCTGAGTGGGAGCTCTGGGCATTAGCTGTAGCAGCTCCGTGTTGCAAGCACCAATCCGGTTAGTTTTTTTTTTCTATAGACAGTACTCACAAAGGAGTTCTCCTTTAAGGGCTTTATAATGACTTCTCTTTGCCTTTCTAATAGCTCTTATGACCTCACTTTATGCAGTTATAGCGCTGAATTTGTGACCTGCAAAGTATTTTGTTTTTTGTCCAGGCAAAGTCTCTCAATAAATAATAACCCATTGCAGTATTTTCTGATACAGTATATCAGGAGAGAGATGTTATCACTTTTATATCATGTGTGGGTGTAGGTTTTTTTTAAAGAAAGCTGAGCAACAAATTGTAACTTTGTGAACTGTGTAAATTGCTGCATTTCTTTCTCTGTTAAACACGAGTGCAGCTGTGATTTCACTCTTTACTTGTGTGTCTGCATGATTATTATTGTGCGTGGGGGAGGGAGGTGTAGGATGGCAAATTGGATGGTAAGAGAAAGCGTCTTTTTTATGGCAGCTCAAAATAGCTGACTGTATTTAATGGTGGTTGATTTGGGTAGAGTTTAGATGAGAGAGATGCTGCTTTCTGTTCAGTTTCTCTGAAATTCTACTGAAGGGTTGCTGTGGGGTGGTATGCAACACAGCAGCATTCAAAAAGTTGTTTTTTTTATCACGGAAATTTTCTGAATACAGATTAGGTTCAGTAGTGTACTGTTTGATTATTCCAAGTTTAATCTTTTCCCCTTTTGTCTTTGCCAGATTATAGCATACCAGCCTTATGGAAAATCAGTGGACTGGTGGGCTTATGGAGTTCTTCTGTATGAGATGCTGGCAGGACAGGTAATATGTTGTTTTACTGCGCCAGTGGACAAAGGGGTTTTATATCATATTTGAATTAGGACTATACATTTAGTGTATATCCATAATGTTGTGCTGCAATACCAACAATCTTTATTGAACCATGTGTCAAGCTAACAAAAATTCATTAGCTCCAGCTTGTCAAATGGGAGAATGTGCTGCATTTCTCTGTTTTGTATCACTGTAAATTGAATATCTTTGAGTTTTGGACTGTTGGTAAGCAAAACACCAAATTTGAAGTACTGATCATGAGCTCTGGGAATTTTTTACTATGATGAAGATGAAAAAGACAGATATTTTTACTTCTATAAAAAAATTAAAGATTACTTGATTCATCTAAGATCAAGAGATTCATCTATTTTAAGTGTGGGGAAAAAGTGTGAAATATTGAGACACTTAAAGAAAAGTAAGTTTTAAGGTTTCCAGTTTCCAGGCAACAGTTCAGCAGAAGATGTTTTTCTTACTGAAGATGGATCACACACATAAACACTCACACAACGATACCAGGATTTTCTGTTTGCTTTTCACTTACAAGCTCCCAGTGCTTAGCTCACCTTCACTTGCTGAAGGTGAGCATGTTGTCAGGTTTCACAGAACAACCTTCAATTCAAGCTTGTAAGTTGTTACGTCAACATTTTACATGAGCTCTGTGACACTGTGTTTGTCTTTCTCCTCAGCCACCGTTTGATGGAGAGGATGAAGACGAGCTCTTCCAGTCTATCATGGAGCACAACGTGTCCTACCCCAAGTCCATGTCTAAAGAAGCTGTGTCCATCTGCAAAGGAGTTAGTACTGTTTAAAGAACCTAAAGTCTTTTTGGTAACACTTTCTATGAAGGTCATCGCTATAATGACTTATGGGTATATTTATAACACGAAATAATGCGTCCATAACACATTATAACCACCGACTCTGCCTCGTTATAAATACACTTTTGTCACCATTTACAATTAGTGATGTAAAATAATAGCTTATAGTAATGTTTAAAGTTATATAGCATGTCTTTGTTTGCTTTACGTAAAGTGATAAAATATCTATCCCTGTATAATATATTACAGGTGGACATAATACCATATGAACTAATTATAAGAACTTATAACACGTCATTGTTTGCTTTAAGTAAAGTGACACACATTTTGCGCAGGAAAACAACTTTTATTTGTTTCTTCACTTTATGAGCAATCTGTATGAATTTTGAACATTTTGCAGTTTAGCACGAAAACAACATAATTACATCAAGAAAACTCATTCTGAGGGTTCAAAAGGTCATAATACGTTATGAACTTTGCTATAGCGCCTAATGCATGTTTGTAAGTGATTATAACAACTGTTATAATGTCTTATGGACGCATTATATCGTGTTGTAAATATATGCATAAGTCATTACAGCGATGACCTTCATAGAAAGTGTTACTGTATTTTTTTACATACTGTATCACAGATTTTTAGATTCTAGGTAGTCACTGCTTTTATTTAAATGCTCGTTGCAGAGACTTGAAATGTACATAATCCGTCACAGTTCCCTCTTCTTTTTTTTTTGGAAAAGTTCAGTTATTGTTGCACAGTAACATAACAGAGAGCAGGTACTCCTCTGGAAAGCTTTGACATGCAAGATTTAGTTGTCAGCTACTGAAAAGCGTCGCCATTGTATGCTATGTTGTTCTTGTTAGAAAAAAAGCTGGAAAATTTGAAGGTTTTGAAAAGGATAACATACAAGATTACAGTTTCTTGCAATAAAATACTTTGAATTGAATTCCATACTGACAAGAATTGAAACTGGCTGCCTAAGAGTCAGTTAATCATCAGCCGATGATAGGTAACAATAGTCTGCACACACAAAAAATCTTCTTTAATTCTATGTGTACATGATAGTGTTTCAATTCCAAATGGTCTTCCCCAGGTGTCTGAGAATTAGGAAATCAAGGCATCTCTCTGGCAGTTTTGTATTACCCTCCCATAAAGTAGGAGAACTTGCGAGAGAAAGATTTAAAAAATAAGTTTTTGAAATTAAACTGCAGAAATATCCTGACTTTTAGTCACTCTTGTGGGTCAAGCTCTAAAAGCACTGTGTCCTACATTTCCCATAATGCAACCTTATAGTGTCATTCGGTTGACATTGCATCCCTATACTTACAAGCCCTTGCTCCCCATGTTGATTAAAAAGAGCTTCACTATCAGTGAAGTGCCACTTTATTCAAAAACATTATGAAAAACATGTTTTACAAAATGTTTAACAGTAATGTAAATTATAAATTATAAAATGTGGACACCACTGTCATTGGTTTTCTTACTTGGCTAATGATAGCTAAACCAGCAGTGTGGTAGATTAGATTTTTATTTTGTTTGAGATAATATATAATATCAAATCAAAATCAATAACATCTTGTTTTCTCACTGTCTTTTTAGTTTCTTTGGGTAACATGACAAGATAGTTTTCGTTTAAAATGTTATCTCTATAATAAATTATTCCATATGGTGTTCCTGAAAAGTGCTGACTCAGCACAGTTAAGTCACAAATTTCTGTAGTTTCTGCTTCCTTCATTTAGCGGGCACCTGTTCCTCTTATTCCTGGGCATCTTTTTTGTGATCATCGTGTCATGGTTGTCATGATTACAATTATTTACCAAAAAGGAAATGAGTTTTCAGAGTCAATTTACCAGAGAAGATCCAATTTAGATCCAGGCAAGTCTTTTAATAACACACCCTGCCTTCATTTATAATGATAAGACACTCTGCGGCTGCATGCAGCCACGAAAAAAAATATCATTCATCATCTCAGAGCCAGTGACAAAAGAGATAATCTTGATCCCTCTTATTGTTTGCTTCACATCTCATTTGCAAAAAAGGATTCATGGTCAAAATTAAAAGTGGCTACTGAATCTGAAACTGGGACATGAAAAGGCAACGAGATTTCCTCGACTATTTTGAAGCTGGAGGAGTGAAAACAGTACGATCTGGCTCTGCATAATGTTGTTGATGCTCGTTGATACACTGTATAGCTAAAGAGGTTTTACACAATTTCTCTCCTCTGTCTTTCTCTGCTCACTATCTTTACCGTCTCTTTCCCTCAAGCAGCTAACTACCTCTGTCACGTCTTCTAATCCCTCCTCTTCTGTTTGTCACCAGCTGATGACCAAGCACCCATCTAAGCGTCTCGGCTGTGGCCCAGAGGGGGAGAGGGACATCAGGGAGCAGGCCTTCTTCAGACGCATCGACTGGGAACGCCTGGCAAACAGAGAGATCCAGCCACCATTTAAACCCAAAGTGGTGAGTGTTGTGTGTGTGTGTGTGTGTGTGTGTGTCTCTGTGTGTGTTGGTGAGAGAGAGAGAGATTGTGTACTGTACGTGTGCTTTTGCAGATTTTTATAGATCTTTGTATTTACAACTGAGTTTCCAAAATTAAACAGGAATATGAAATTGACCGGTCAGACATCCTCTATCATGGCATATGTATGGGATTTCATATTCATATATATATCGTGATAATTGAATTCTTTCCGGAAAATCATTTGAGAAACCATTAATAGATGAAATATCCTCACTGTTCAGTTCTCACAAAATGTTCTTGATAAATCCAGCAAGTTAAATTGATGGAAAAATCATGTAAAAATTATTGCCATAACGCATCCTGCTAACTGATTTGCAATATTCCCCAAAAAAAGACAAATTTATATCATGATATCATGTTATAACATGATATCGTATGATATGTCATCATCCTGCCCAATGCTACCCATAACATTACACTCTGATATGATATTTGTTTTAAACTTCAAACTCTATATTTCCAACCAAATGCTGCTTAAATTTTAAAGTATGGGTCCACAAACTTACAATACAATACTCACAAACCCATAAGCTTTTGCTCACTGTAATCATTCCTTCTTTGTATACTGGCTGTGAAATGTTATCTTCCTTCTGCAATTTCAATGTAAGAAATAGCGGACAAAATCCAAAGTCCTGTTTGTGTGTGAAAGTTCAGCTAATGCTTATATGAGGCTTCAGCAGTCTGATTTTGGCAAACCAAGCCTCTATCTTTCATAGTTTCAGACTTTTTAGTTCAAATATCCCTCTTTGCGTTTCACCAGACTGTAACAAAAAGGAGACAAGCTTTGTAGATGCTGACTCAAACTGTTAAAGCCTCATATTAGTTTCGGCTGAACCCACCACTTACATTACTTTACAATGGGATCTCTTCGGGGCCGGAAAGATGAAATTACAGCAATCAAAATTTACGTACGAGCATGTGAAACAAGTTAATCAAATTTTCAGAAAGTTGACAAATGTTGACAAAGAAAAGGACAAATCATTGTGGTTTTCCATCAATTTATGCAAATGTTCTGAGGAGCCAACAAGATTTTTGGACGCGATCAAAAGATCACCTGTTGTTGTTCCCATCATTTCTTTGTTGCTTTCCACTGAGTTCAGCATTCCTTCCATGAATTACTGTAAATCTGACCACACATTTTTGGAGCTTTTTCTTTTTTGAGCCAATAACTGTAGCGCTCCATTCCTGCTAGACGAGAAGGCAGGTCTCATAACATTATCACTTATTCAGCAGATTGCTTACATTAACCGTTAGCTAAACTTGTATTTACCAACGCCTCTACCTTCGACCATAAGGATAAAATGGCATATCTGTATAAGTAAATCAGGTGGATATTTCCAGATGATGACAGAAACTAATGACATAAAACATCCAGAGTGCGACGCTAAAACCAGCAAAACACCAGAAAATCTGTCATTCTTGAATGCATTACTGTTGAGGAAATGAAATACTTCCTCAGAGAGCCATTACGTATGTATGCATGAATGGATGGTTTATATGCACCCAGCAAAGCTCGAGCCTGGATGCCAGCTGCAGCCACCAGGGTCCCCTCCCTGACGCCTAAACCTCCTCCTGTCATCACAAAGCACCGCTTTTCTGTATGTGGACCCCCGCATCTTCCATCCCCTCGCTACCCACATGGCCCGAAGCAACACATGCGCTGCCGCCAAGGATTAAAAATAGGTCTCTAAGAGCAGAGTTCCCTTTACGTCCACACAAGGGCCACAATAAATGCAGGGTCACACAGCGGATGTATCTGTCTCCACTCACAGAGGCGGGAGGAGGAAAAAATGCTAAAAGTGGATCCATCCATTCAGGGGTCTTTGTGTGGCATATCGCAGAGCTCATACACTGTGTCATTAATAGATCTGAATGGACTAGCAAACAAAAGATCCATCTGAGGCTTTATGGTTTGGCTGATGTGATATTACCAAGCAGTTGAAAAATGCCCGACATGCTGATATGTCTCCTGAGAAAATGTGTTGCGAACAGCAGGTGCAAAAATCCATTGTACAGATTTGTCTTTGTTGAGCATTACTCATTCTGGAGGAATTTGTCTTGTTTTTCTTGTAGAAGTGTTGTGACTGTGCTGATACTGTGCATGACATACAGCAATATCCCTATACAGTATGTTCAGCTGCTTGATACATATGACAGCCCAGAGCGGCGCTGCACACTGCCGGAGATGACCTCCACTGTGGATGCTCAGGGTTAGACACTAATCTAATTACAACTTATGCGCGGCTACACATTTCCCTGCACCACCTTCCCTCGGGGACTGTTAAAGCTTTCAAATGAAAGACTGATGAGGAAAAGCCTTTTGTAGACTTTTACAGTCCAGTGATCAAAATAACGCTTGATCCTTTCCACATCTGACATTTGTTTAAAATCTCTTTCAGTGTGGCAAAGGAGCAGAAAACTTTGACAAGTTTTTCACACGAGCGCAGCCTGTGCTGACCCCTCCTGACCAGCTGGTCATCGCCAACATCGACCAGAGCGAGTTTGCGGGCTTCTCCTACATAAACCCTCAGTTCATCCATCCGTCCCTGCACAGCGTGGTATGAGGCGTGAGCAGCAAACACAAACGCACGGACAGTTGCTCACTACAGGATCCTTCCACACTCCAACAAACGTCCCGCTGTCAAAAGACTCATATCACCCTCTCCAGTATTCTGTCTATTAGTTATCAATATCTGTGTACAGAAATGACTGAGAGTGGAGCAAAGTGTTACAACGATGTTTGTGGGCGAGAAAAAGTACATGGCACTGATGTTTTTTTGAATAATTTTCCCCAGAATTCTGATAATGTGTTCTTCATTCTGAATCTGTACCTGCGTTTCTCCGAACCTGCAGCCTTTTTTTCTTGTGTAGGAATGTGTCTATCAGTTACATCTCATTAGGTATTATCTCATGTTCTCCCCCGTCTTACTACGCAACAAGCTGCAATGCACGACAAGAACGGAACGTATTTTTCTGCTCTGTCCCAGCTTTATCTACTTCTGAACCGCTACACGTGTATTTTATATTTATATATTAAAATAAAATAAAATAAAAAAGAGGTAGTATACTGTTACATGAGTGCCAAAGTAGAAGTGGAAAAAACATTTCTATTTCAATTCTTAGTCCTTGTGATGTTTTTCCCCTCGGGCTTTCCCAACACTGTCAGCACACTTAAACCCCTGAACAGGGACCGTTTATATCTGTTGTTGTGTAGGACGTGGAACTACAGTATATCTAACTCAACATAGAGAAACAGAAGTACCTTGTGCTAACAGTTACAAGCTGGGTACAGCTTACAGTGGGTAAATATGGGATGAGTTCAGTATATAGGGTCAGAAAATTGTGGATCAAAGAAACAGTGTTTTCAAGTATAAAGATGCTATTTCCATATGCACAAAGCAGATCTCTGTTGCATGCTTATTTTCTGACTCTGTATGAGCAGTAGACTATAGGATGCAGTACACGTCTGGTATCATTGTAAAGTTTAGTATTATGATATAAACTGTGTTAATATATAATTGTTGTATGTTTTGAAGAGTGTAATTCTGAAGAAAAGTTTCTAATAGTTAAGGGTTAAAAAAAGATTTTGTTCCTGTTTTGTGTTCTGCTTTACTCAACAAGAGATGTCTAACCCCTCTATTGTATGTTTTTTTGTAAATATGTTTCAAAAAGAGATGTTACTGGCAGATTTTATACTATGAACTGAATGTGCTTTTACTACCGTAGACAGTTTGAACATTTATATGTTTAGATTACCCCTAAGAAGAGTGTGTGTGTGTGTATGTATATATATATATATATATATATATATATATATATATATATATATCTAACACTTGGCTGAATCTTTGGTAGCTTTGGTATCAGCAAACCTTGTTATATGTATTTCCACTATTTATCCATTCTTTTCTACTACTCAGTGTCATGAATATGAGAATATGCAGCACCTACTGTGCGTGAAATGGTGGAACCCCCTCTTGCCTTGGTCGTCTCAGGACAGACTCCTTCTGTAACCAACTGAATCCAATACCGAGTAATGGTACGAGGGTTTCAGAGCCCTCTGTGGCTGAAACGTGTCTTTTCCTTCTTGCTTATATTGTGTGCATGCTTGAGACGAGGCCTGATCCAAGCATGAGAAAGACTCCCTGCATGATACAGAGAACCCCCTCTGGTGTGGAGCATGGAGTTTCCCCACCTAGCTGCGCAGAACGAGAAAAACCCGTTCGAAGAGCATTGTGAGCTTTTCTGCTCATCGTCCTCTCTCACTTGCTGTCATGTAGCCCAACCTGTTTGGCTAAAAAAGCTGAATTATAAACAGACAAATATGTGTAAAATGCTTCTGTTGGCTTTTTTTTTGTCCACTGGTGCCAAACTGAGTCTTTTTTTTTCCAGTCCAGCACTGTTTTTTTTTTTTGGAGGTAGGGGCACACAAAGCTACAAAACTGAGGTTTCGTAAAACTGCCAAATTTAGGAAGGCTACAGCTCTTAACCCCTGAATTAGTTACTTCACATATAGACTGGTGTTGCAGCTGTCACATCCGGACCAAAATGAGTTTTTTAAGCTTAAGATAAAACTGAATGTTTACATGTCTCACATTGAGAAACTTTTATCATAGGAGAGGAATTGAAAAAAAACAACCATTGGACCCATGACAGAGATAATCAAATGTCAGGCCAGCCAAGGTACAGTACCACTACGGGCTACAACTAGGGCCACAGGGATGTTTGTATGTGTTTCCTTTCTCTGCCCCTGCTTTTGGTAACCTGATTCTTCTTGTTCCTCTGTTCATTGTGGTATGATGGATTAAATAAAGTATGAAAAATATGAATCTGCTCTGTTTTATTTGGTGTTCAGTCTGAAGTGGCTGTAGTTCAGCCTGAATGTGTTACTCTATAGGCACATGTGGTTTTGCAGGTGAATTGTTTGACATGTAATAAACGACATGTATTAAAGGACTGTACAAAAAAATGATTTGGCGGGGGAAGCGGGTCAGAAAAGGGGAGGGTATTAGTTTTATTTTGGCTGAAGGGAAGATAGTTTGGCTTTTCTGGGATAAACCCTGAAGTAGAAAAATTGCTACTTTGAGATTATGCTACTCAAACATTGTTATACGAGGAACAATCAGATGATACAACTGAATTTATACATAAGTCAAAACGTCATTTGATCTAAGTTATATTTATTTTCTAAATGTAGTATTTAGAGAAGGGTAAAAATATTATCTCCAGTATCCCTTAGAGCTGCTGCCGGTGCCCAGGTCACTCAGCAACATTAATAGATAAAGATATTATGGTGTTGCAGTTTTGTTTAAGTCAAGTGGAGGGGCCAAAGAAATAATTAATAATGCTGAACAGGGAATGTAAAATTCAGCAACTCACAGTAACAGTAATTTTCCCACTGTCCCTAACCACAATGAATTCACATATTGGCATACCGTAAAACTTCAATTGAAAGCCTAGTCACAATTAGAGACCTATCCCTTTTACTGGCCTAGTGTGGCTACACATTTGACAAAAAAACGCAGGTCTCAATTAGAAGCCCAGTCTAGTTCTAAACTGAGGAAACCATGAGCACCAAAGTATTATTCATTAAGATTTACTTATTTATATTCCTTTAGTCCATAAGGGTCCACAAATCGAAAGAATCAAAAAGTGTTTTCATAAAAATTAATCTACAGTAATCTTTGGCCGTTGTCCTTCCTACGGTGCATGAGGTTGAATGTGCTGTGTCTTTGAGCTAGATCAAATCAATGATTTATTTCATTATATGTTAGTGAATAGTATATTTTTTATATAAGGAATATTCATACTGTTTTAAATAGACAGTGTGATAGTAGCCTATCTCCCATATTTGCTGAGCAAGAGTTTTGGGACAAAGCAAGAAATGCTACATTAGAGTATACACTAGCCGAATTCACTCTCTGGACACTTTAATACAGTGTAACAGTTCAGCCACATTACGTTTTATTAAGACTTTCCAAGATGTGTTAGTTGAACTGTTAATTACTGAGTTATCACAGTTAGTGGTGCTGCACTGCATTATGTTGAAATGTGTTTCTAATGCCCCCGCTCCATGTTTGTAAATGCGGTGGGTAAAACATTAGAAACACATTTCAATATAATTCAGTCCAGCTCAACAACACTGCAAACTACATCCTCAATAATAAGCATATAGTTCAACTAACACGTTTCAGACAGTGTCAATCAAAACTCAACATTATTATGTCTATGAAGATTCTCAGTCATCCAGGTCATAGTTATCCAACGAAGGTTAAAATCAAGGGCAACTGGACTTGGTTGAAGATACTGGAAGACGTTTCGTCCCTCATCCAAAGGACTTCTTCAGTTCTGACTGACTGGCAGGGAAACTCAGCTATTTAACCTCTACGCCACCACTTATCCCCCACTTACAATGCTGTCCTTTCATCACTTCCCAGGAAACTCAACAAACGTAACCTAATGGCCTCAGGTGAAGATACCAACGATGGTCGTTCAGTCTTGGCCACAGGTAGTCTTAACAACTGTAACGACTGTCGTCACAGCAACAAGGAACACTAACGAACCAGCGGTATCGATGACCCGGGCCAACGACCCCACTGAGGTTAAATAGCTGAGTTTCCCTGCCAGTCAGTCAGAACTGAAGAAGTCCTTTGGATGAGGGACGAAACGTCTTCCAGTATCTTCAACCAAGTCCAGTTGCCCTTGATTTTAACCTTCGTTGGTCAACATTATTATCTTTGTAAAGTTGGAATTTATGGCTGAGCTGGAAAGCTTGTCCCTAATAGTGGCCCTGTTACTGATTTATAAAGTAGAGCTCAAGCGATTTCTCGTTTTGCAGATATTAACAGCTGATATAAGCTACTTGCAGATATATCTGCATCGCCATTTATATAACAGCTGACATATGACTATTAAAAAAGAAACAGAGAATCGAATCCTTCCCTCATGTCATGAGTGTTGCATAGTTTGCCCACCAGAAGGCGCTCTGCAGCTCCTATGTTAACAACACTGCAGCACCACAGAACAAAACATCAGATGACCGGTGTTGTGGCGAATTCTGCATGCCTGCCGAGAATTGCATGCACCTTGCGGGTGGTAACCCTAATTCATGCTGAGAAAAGAGGTGGATGCAAATCTCGCCAGGTAGCCTAAAACATCTGTTCTGCCTTTTCAGACACTTTGCTGTGCTCATTGATCAAACGCGGTTATCACCACATATTTTTGCTGAATCATAAGGAACGCTACTTCTACTAAGTGTAATAAATTATTAATGACTCCAAACGTTCATAAAATATATACTTCCAATTTATTACCATTGATGTAGCCCACAAGGATATTATAGCGTTTAAGAGCAGTTTTTGGAGGTGCATGTAATTCTCGGCAGGCATGCACTGGAGTCTACCCAAGCCAAAGAGTAGCTCCTGGTAGCTCTCACACTCAGTGTTCCTGGTGTTGGTCTTTTGTCACCTCAATTACATGACTTAAATGATAATAAATATAGCCCTCATCACTATTCCTCTTCGGAGACCAGACTTGCTAACCCTCCCATTTTTCACTGCTATATTTAGGCTCCCAGCAGTGTGTTTAATGTTACGTAACGTTAGGTTAGCTGCTGACAGACATGATTGTAGATTTATTACTGAAACTGAAGTGTGGCAGTAGGGACAGGTCCTCTCATTTCTCTCTAATTTTTTACTTCTAAATATTTTCGAACATCGCCAACAGATAAGATACCTGTTGGTAAATTAGCCACAAAGCTAATGTCATGTTTATAAGTGGAGGAAGCTAGAATTAATGAGGATTAAACTGTAGTGAAATGAATAAACCAGAGGGGACTTGTGAGTAAACAAGTATCTAACACACAGTTGCAGGTCCTGGTTGTAGACAGTCATGTAGTATTAGATTAATTCATGTTTCCTCTGGGTCACTGTATCATAGATGGTGGTTAGGAAATGGTTTCTGTAGCATTGGATAGAATTAACAGAACCCTGTTTATCATTATTATGATAGCAATGACACCAGAGATGATATAAGGTATTATTATTAATAGTAGTATTAGTACTATATAGGTATTTTTTATAGTTTGTGTTTCACTAGCCCCTCAATACATACACTATCTAATTAATGTTCATTAGTAGTAGTACTCTATAATTTATTACAAATCAGATATTTTAAAAATGTTTCTGTTGTTTTATATATTTCTGACTCTTATTTATCAAAACTTTAATGTATTTTGCTGTACTTTTGTTCAAATAATTTTGTCATGGTATCTTGGTATGGTCTCAACATAACTAATGTTTGGTATAATCTTTGTTTATGTTATGCCTTTCTTAAAATAAAGGGAAAAAAGAATATTTGGCTATCGGATTTTAAAATCCTCAAATATATCGAAATCGGTATTGGACTTAAAAATCCCATATAGTTCGGGCTCTAATATAAAGCATTAATAAAGGATTTATTAACATTTAATAAAGCCATTAGTTACATTGTTTACACCCCACAGGATATAAAGTAGCCTGTTTCTTATTAGAAGACTCTCACATCTTTAGCACTCTTGAACACTGACCCTCTGAAGATGCCCTCTTATGAGCATCTCTGTGCTTGGACAGATAGTGCATCTTTATGTTCCTGTCGGAAATTTTGCATTATATCATAACATATAAATAAATAAATAAAATACCTCTATTTGGACAGTTCAAGTGTTGAGTTTCTATCTATGACCTACAGGTAGTTCTTGTTCTTTCTTTTTCATGCGTACTTGAAACACGTCACCTCAACAGGCAGCTGTCTCACTTTCTGCCAGAGCTGGAGTGGAGTTGTCCATGGTCCTGAAATCACACGCGCGCGCGTGCGCGCGCGCACATACTCTCTCTCTCTCTCTCTCTCTCTCTCTCCGTATTTGCATTCATCGGCTGAGATCAGCTCGTGCAGCAGGACCAGGCGTCTGTCTGACTCGCTGTCTCGGTCCTAACATCTTCCATCATCTTCCCGCTGCTTCACTTTACAGTTTTCTGCAGGAATTTGTGACCTAATCGACGGAGAGCCGCAAAATTTTCTTTCAAGTCGTCACAACAGACAGTCCTTCACCCTGCCAGCAGGAGGTTTAAATTGACAACTTTCAGCACAATCTTTCTCTCTAAGGGCAGGAAACACCGTGCGGAGACTGTGCAGACCACAGCAAACAGTATGTGATTTAGTTATTATTTCAAAATTAAGTGTTGATTTTAAGTGTTTATTTTAAATACGTTTTAAAACTCCCGCTTCTAATTAACTTAGCTAGTCCAATGTGTTTGGCATGTTCAATGATAAGTAGCCTATGATGTTTATTATGAGTTCACTGGGTTACTGCTCGCAGTTGTATACACAGAACTACAGCTACAGTAGGTACCCTGTAAGTCTCTATAGGAGAATTATTATTATTTTATATCATAAAAACTATACTTTTAGATTTTAATGTCATTCACAAGTAACTCTAATCTATCATTTGCAAGAAGGTTGTGAGAAGGTCACCATACAAATGTATGATGTTGGAAATTATGTTTGATTATGAAACTAATTTGGAGCCCTTCCTGTCTGATAAGTGAAGTGTGAGTTGTTGTTTTTTTGGTTTTGTATTGATCCATTTACTTCATATTGAAAGTTGGCCATATATTTTATACAGAATCAATGTATTGGCACGCAGATGGTGAGGAGAGCTGATGTGGATGTGATGGGGCTCTATCCTCATGACTGCTATAACCATGTTATAGCTCAGTTTGTACATAGTATAATTATAATAATCATTTGATGGCTATTTTAAAGAGAGGTGCACCCCTCTGCACACATTTTA